TCAAGAAACATAATTTTTTTTTTTTATTTTGGGCGGGATGGAAGCCAGAATTATGGGCGGGAATACTGTTTCTACAACTATCCTTCTTTAATATAGTAAATAGATAAGGACCCTTGGATCAATTTACACGTGGCACCATCTCCTCGGCCAAGACATCAAGTCCTAGTCATCAAGTTGACTCTCCTAGCCGTAAAGACATTAAATGCTCTTACGTTGACAAGACAAGACACAAATAAACTTTACACAAAAGTCACATCAATCATTCAAATTAAAGATCTTCATCATAAACAAATCTCCACATGTGGGCCATTGCTAACTGCTGAAGAGCCTCGGATAGTGAGTGGAGGTGCCCTAGGCCTCAGATAGTGCATGGCCTCGGAACAAGGGCCTCGGCTAAGCTCCGAGCCTCGGTTGACACGTTAGAGGCCAGGAAAACACATCCTGATTCAATTGGGCTGGTCCCACCATTCAAATATGATGTCACGTGGTGATCCTATTTATAAGTCGTAACACATTAACTAATATCTCGTCTACAATGTTCCTCAGAATTAAGACCAAATTACCCAAGGCATTTAGCTCCTTCTATATATTGAATTTGGTAAATTTCAATTTTAAGTTTTAACTAGATATTTAGTTTTAATCATTTTAATGTGTATACCTTTTACATTTTGCTTGATTTGGCTTCTTGTTATCTGAAAACCTTCTGTTCACACATCTTTCTGCACATTTCAGGTAGAACTAATAGAACCAGCTGTGAAGGGAACCCTTAATGTTGATCCTAAATATGTATTTGACAGTAATCGTTTGGAATTGCGGTGGGAGATTTCTCTTGGAACTATGTACATTTTATTTTTATTGCATTTATTTTAATGTGATATCTTATTTCGTTCTGATGATAAACATGTACAAGAGAACTGACTGCTCTACATGCATCATCTGAAGAAATCTCTAACTGGATAAACATAATTAATCCTAGGAAAGCTGATGTCTCCGCAAATAATAGTGATGGTGAAAATCGATTGCTAAAATATCAGGAAGCTACTAGTTTAGGCAGTAAAGCAAATGAGGTTTCTCTCCTTCAAAGTAATAGACCAATGTCAAGTTGTAGCCAGAAAGCCAAATACCCGTTCATTTGTGAATGCTTCTTTATGATGGCCAGTGTGCTTAACTTGGGATTACTAAAAGCATTTTCGGACTTCAAAAATCTTGTTCAGGTTGTGCACTTCTTAGTTTGGCAATGATGGATCAAATCTATTATTATTATTGTTTCATTTCCTTTTAAATAGTGTTTTGTTGTTGGCTATTATTGTGCCGATTCCCTATTAAACTGAACTTCTTATTATTATCAATTGTTAGGGAAAAAGATCAAATGAATCACTTGACATTAAACTTAACACCATTAGTTGTTGGAGAAGACCAATTTATGTGTGATGCTTATGAAATAATCATGATATGCATTGGAGTCATTTTTTTAAAAAAATTTCGTTTGGACAGATGTTCTAATGTAGTTTTTTTTTCATTTTTCCATTGTCATTTCTTTTACTTTTAGCTTATAAATTAGTTACCATTTATCTGATGTAGTGGCCAATTTCTTTCTTGCTTTGTGCCTCTTTT